ATATATATATATATAAATGATGTAAGTTATTGAGCTTCTTCTTCTGGGCAAGAATGCCAAGTTAGCCTCTTTTCATAAAAAGCAATGATGATTTGAGCACATTTCATATTTGCCTCTTTTGCCAGCACCAAGTCAACCTCATCTGAATCTTTCCATTTCATGAGAAACATCAGTTCTCCACTACTATCTGTGGTGCCAATTATTCATTCAGGATCAAGACCTCTAGCAAAACCTCTACGTTTGTCAGCAGCATCTCTTTTTATCTTTGATTTGCTGTCATCAGATTCACTGTCAGATAGAGATTTTCTTTTTGTACCATCTTTTTCTTTAGCAGCTTTTTGTGAATTAAGAAATGCTTCAATTAACTCTGGGCAATCTAAATTTTCTTCAGGTTCCCATGTATTGTCAACATCTGCAAATCTCTTCCACTTCAGAAAATACTCCACCTTCCCATTCACTACAAGTCAGTCCAATACTTTCTCTACCACAAACTCTTCAGGTTCTGCTTCCTCAACTTTTTTATATTTTCCATTTTGTTTCTTTCCCATTTTTAGCAATATAGTTTTATTGGAGGCCATTTTTTACTGCAGACTTGAAGAGTTCACTGCCTCGGATGCTCAGTCGTGGGTCTGCAGTCTCAGCTCGCCCGCCTGCAGATCCACTCGCACTCAAGAGCAGGGGGCCAAGACACAGCGCCGGCTTCTTTCCATTTTATGAAAGCCTCTATTATCTCTTTTTTCAGAGTACTATAATTTTCATAGAATAGATATTTTCCTTCCTTAGTTAGATTAATTCCTAACAATTTTGTTTTCTGTGGTGCTTTTGTAAAAGGTATAGTTTCTTTAATTTTCTTCTCCTTGTATTTTCTTATCTGTGTAGAGGAATGCTATTGACTTTTGGGTATTGACTTTGTATCATACTATGCTACCAAATTTGTGCATTAATTATAGCAGCTTCTTGGTGGAGTTTTTTAGGTCTTCCAAGTACAGAATCATGTAATCTGCAAATAGAGAGAGTTTAGTTTCTTCTTTACCTATTCTTAATCTTTTTATTTCTCTCTCTTGTATAATGGCTCTAGGTAATGATTCCAGCACTATACTGAATAGGAGTTGTGTTAGAGGGCATCCTTGTCATATACAAGATCTAAAGGTAAGAGAATGAGTCCCAGCCCAGGTCCGGTGAGTGTGTGGGAGAGCTTCCGGCTGCCGTGCACCAGAGGGACCAACTCCGTGTACCAGCCCAGGCACAGCATGGGTGAGACCATCTTTGAACCCCCTTGGGACACCCTCCAACACTCCGCAGCACCTCCCCCACCATGCCAACTGACTAGGAATTTCTGCCACGTTCCAGGAACCCCCAGACCCAGTCCTAGCCCAGGTCCAGTGAGTTCCTGGGAGACCTTCCTCTTACCCTGCGCTGGTGGGACGAACTCCAGGTCCCATCCCAGGCACAGCATGGGTGAGGCCATCTTTCACACACTTGGGATGCCCCTCACCACTCCGCAGCACCTCCCCCACCCCGCCTGCTGAGTAGGAAATTCAGCCAGATTCTGGGAACACCCAGAAGCAGTCCTAGCCCAGACCCAGTGAGTGTGTGGGAGAGCTGACTCTCCCCCCTACTCCACCTTGTCCTCTCCAGGCTTAGCTCAGGGCTGGCATACAGGACTTGGGTGTAACCCTGGAGCTGCAATCCCTACAGAGAGGGTGGAGGATAGAACGACCTAGCTACTCCAGGAGCAGAACATCTTGCCACAGGGGCACAACAGATTCACCCTCAAGGGCAGCAGTGGGAAGAAGCTGAGCAGAGAGCTAGACCTAAGCCAGGCACAGCTGGACAATTCCAGAATTTGTAGATCTGCACCTGAACTTCAGTACGTGCTGAGGTTATAGCTACAAAGAAGATCTACAACAAAGCTCAGAAGACAGTGCTACACAAAATGGTGAGGAGGAACAAAATGCAACCTCAGAACCCAAGCCCACCTATAAAAAGTGCAGAGGACACTAACACAGAACAAAGAGGTAATCACACAGCTGAAAGCAATGAATCAAAGGCTTCTGAAATAAAGAAACAGCTGTAGAAAGGTATACAGGAACTCAGTTTGGAAATAAAAAAAAGAAATCCCTGAATTAATAACATCTGCCCTAAAGAATCAAATGCAGAAACATGGGGGAAACCCAGTGCCCACCCAGAACAAGTGTGGAGGACACTAGCTCGGCTCAAATGCATGAATTAATAGCACCGATAGTAAATAAGCAACAGCAGAAAGACATAGAGGAAATCAGAGCACAACTCTTTTCTGAAATAAAAAAAGAATTCTGAGAACTCATAGCATCTGAAGTAAAGAGGCAACTACAGAAACAGGGAGGAAGCCCAATCTGAAAAAAAAATAGCAGTAAAAGAATTTCTAACTGCTTCTAAAGAAGACATTGAGAAAAAAAAAATACAAGAGATTAGAAAAATGATGGATTCCTTGAAGGAGCAATTCAGTAAAGAAACAGATCGCATGGGGCAGAGTCAAAGAGATATGGAGGAAATGAAAA